ATAATTATCATAAATCATAATATTTTGTATGAACCCTTATAGTCACGTATTATACAGATACTTACAATGGGCTGCAGATTATAAGTAGAAACGTTCATTTAAAATGTTTAACTTCATTTATACAAAGGACTTCAATAGAATTATGCACAGAGTGCATCGAAAGAAAAAGTATAATAACTATATTTTTTTTAGAATGTAAATATGTTTTTATTTTGTCTTAAATATACACCAATAATAAATGTTATGATCTTTTAAAAATTGTCATTGAACTTGAGAATTCTCGAAAATCAAAAAAAAAATATGTATAATATAATAATAATAATCACTAAAAATAAATAGGCACATCAATAACAAACATTTCTTATCTAACTATAGTAAAAAAATATCACGAAAATCATAATGAAGTTTAAAAAAAAAAAAACTATCCTTAAAAAATATACGTATAAATATAAGCTTACAATATTATACATATACAAATATATATGTTTATTATATTCATATGCATAATGTATGTACCTATATTATACATACATTATAAATATGTGTGTGTGTGTGAAGTGTTGTGCATATTATGTTACAAATATGTTACGGATAAATATTTAATTTTATAATTTTAAGTAAGGTAAAGGTTAAACTATATAATATATTATATTAAGTTTATATTTTATGTTGAATCAATTAATTGTTCTCTATATAATAATATAATTAAATAATGAACTAAATGAAAAAAAAACAAATCAAACAAACAAACAAACAAACATAATATGAAATAATAATTATTAAGTCCGTTTTAAATTATTAAACAATCGTCATTGTGTGTGAGTCAAGATCAAATTAAAATGTCAATATAATTCTGATTGTCTGTTTTTATGTTGTTGCTTATATGTTCAAAATGAAAAATAATTGTATATATTTCATAATAATATCCAAAGAGTTGACGTAAAAACTTAATACAACATATTCTTACATTTTTATTTTATGTTACAAAAAATATATTGTAATAATTATAAGTTAAATATTGGTAGTTAAAAATAACAATATTATTATGTATACAGGGAGTTTATATAATAATAATAATAATAATAATAATAATAAAAATTAAGTCGTTTATAGAAATGTCTGTCCGTCATTAGAGGTAGGTAACGTAAACAGTATGTGTTATAAAATAATATTATAAGAGTATAGTGGCTATAGCGAAAACTCAAGAATTTGGTAGGTATTACATAAATGTATATAATATTACTTAAGTTAAAAATGTAATTAATTTCGAATCTTTTTGTTAAGCAATAAATTATTAATTTATGTCATGTAAAATTGTTATGTGTACTACTATCGATTTTCCAGCTAATGAAGTTCGGTTTTTATATAACGTTGAAAATGTCGAGTGAAAATAAAATAATTTTGGCACAACTTGTTGTTTTGTTAACTATATCCAATTGAGGACAAACATAACGTCTCACCGTACTCATGATAGACTTGCATTCGTAATATTAGATAATAATAATAATAATAATAATAATAATAATAATAAT